ACTTACTTACTTACTTACTTACTTACTTACTTACTTACTTACTTACTTACTTACTTACTTACTTACTTACTTACTTACTTATTTAATATCCCGCCTATCTAGTCGGTTAAGACTATGCTGGAACTAGGCTTGGGGACGGCCAGAACTGGTTGAAGCTGAAGGGTCTGAATTGAGGGTGGATGGATGGTGTTTCTGGCCTCTTGGATTTAGGATGGTCCTTGGTTTCACAAAGGCGCTCATGCATTGTGTATCCCCTGTAACGATAACTGGTTCTTGAACCTTTGATCTGTGCTCATGTCAGAGTTGGACATGGCAGAGGAAGAATTGAGAATCTTCAGCAGGCAGAGCAGGGCTGTTCTTGCATTCTGGGCATCACGACAAGCCATCTTTCTCGGCCAGTGATACACATACCATTAATGGAGCATAGAAGCAGTAAACATGTGATACAGTTTAAAAAAAAAAAAACTATTACAAAGATAAATAATCTCCATGTCCTCCCTGCTCAACTCCTCCAAACTCCAGGCTGTGGCTTATTTTACTGGGTTAATCAATTTCTCACTTGATATTGCTCTTTTCCTGCTGCCTTCAATTTTCCCGGCTTTATTATATTTTCCAACCTAGACATGTGCGAAAACTGTCAAGAATATGCAAGGAGAGACCAAAACCTTTGTTGCCTAATATGATAGAGGGACCTCTCCCCTTATGTGTGCAAAAGACAAACAAGGAAGTCGGATCTTGCTTCAGTACTGGAAATGGGACATTGCCCTCCTTGTACCTGAAGGCAGCAGACTAGTTTAGGAACTGCAAAACAGGCTACATGGTAAACACACCTCTGCTCTACTCTAACACTGTCATTCCCCACACTTTAGCATTTGAGGCAGCAGCCTCAGTGTGCCTAAAGAAAAACGAAGCAAAGTGTGCTGCTTATATACTGCCCCATAGTACTTAAAGCAATATCTGGGTGGTTTGCAAGTTAATTAAGCAGGCTACACATTCCCCCCCCGCAACAAACTTGGTACACTCATTTTACTGACCTCGTAAGGATGGAAGCCTGAGTGAACCTTGAGCCGGCTACCTGGGATTGAACCCCGGGTCGCGATCACAGTTTTAGCTGCAGTACAGCAGTTTAACTACTGCATCACGAGGCTGTCATGGTAAAGCTGCTTCTATGGGCATGCGATCCATGGAAGAATTCACGCCTCTTTTCACACTTGATCAGACTTCCTTGGGTGGGCTACAGCAGGTTTGAGAAACCTAACTACAGCTTGATTAGATAGAGAGCTGGCATTAAGTGTAACAGTTCTAATAACATGTTTTGTTTTTACCTGGAGGAAAAAGTTGCGCCTTTCGAATGTGGAAGCAAACTAGAGCCATGGTGTGAAGGTATGAGAGGCGTTCTTTCTCTTCTTCTGAGACAGGTAGGAGACAGCGTAGAGTCTGAAGCTCAGCATTGATCTGATCCCGTCTAGCCTTTGAAGCACCTTTAGTTGATCTGCACAGACCAGAGTTCACAGATATGCATCAACTAGACAAGTTTATCTTCATATGCTCCCACTCTCTTAAAATATTTTCCAGCAGATCAGAACATAAAACCTTTTGAATTCAGAATACAGAAGCTTCATTCTTTCTGACTACATCTCCCAGAATCCCCTAGCCAGCATGGCCATGCTGCTTATGAGATTCTGGGAGCTGTAGTCGAAGAAAACAACTTTTCTGGATCTGATACACATGACAATTCTCAACTTTCAAAAAGTGCAAGTGTTCTTGTGAATGCACAGACCCAAGATAAGGTTGCAAAGTTAATTACTATTTTTTTTTGGCTAGAATCCTATTGCAGATTTACATTGGAGTGAAGCACAGTTGCATAAATCCCAGTGCTGAATGGCTGCTTGCATTCCTAGTCACGTGCCAGTCATGCAACTTAGCACACAACTAGGTATACGAGCAGCATTTTTTAATTAGTAGCAATTTGCCATCCTGATTCATGCTATTACACTCATACTGGCATCAATCCACAACACTATTCTGGCAATTGGTTTGTTATTTCCTAATACAACTATTTAAAAAAACAAAATGACAACAGCAGCAATAGATTATAACACTGAACCTAATGTGTCACTTTGGGTGTAAAACTACTTTCACACAACCCTATCACTTCTTTCGAATAAAAGATTAAAACATGTTTTCCATGTCATAAGTGGTTTTTTTAAATTAGACCTCAGTGAAGCTCTGTTTTACACTTTAGCTGGACAGGATGAATCATCACAAAAAAGCATGGGAAAGCAGCAAACTGGTGGGAATTGTAACTGGTGGGAAAGAATGAGAGGGTGCTTTGAAGTACGTATGAACACACACACACACCTGTACACATACACACACACGCACTAGTATGTTACAAAGAGGTTACAAGCCAAACTTCCACTTTCCTTTTGATTTGGTAAAGAAATTTCTACAAGGTTTTCCCTCAGTTTCATAGAGACAGTACCTCATAAGGGGGCTGAGCCAAGACATTTGGTGGCCCAAAGAGAAGAGCAAAATGGCACACATGCATCCAACTCTTACTACATAAACAGAGCGATACTGTAGATGAATCCTGAGAACTGGTTGGATAGCTCAGTGGTTTAGGCATCCACCGTGCCTCCTAGAAGAGCCAGCCTATGTGGCCATGGGCAAACTGCACAGAGTTGCCAGGGCACCCTCAGAAGAAGGGAACGGAAGCCATTTCTGGGCCTAGACGACCCTGAAAAAGGGTTGCCCTATGTCAGAATTGACTTGAGTCCACATTATTATTATTATTAAACTAATCTTATTTCAACAGTAAGAATTCTAGTACACCTTCCACATCTGAAAGCAGATTTCTGTCAAATGGGAAGGCTGGCTTTATCTCTTGAAGGTGCTTCTTTATCTGGTGGGAGCTGGAATGTTCGGTTTTACACAAACGTCCTCAGAACTAAACAAGGCCTCTTAAGTGGTTAAATAATTCACCATATGGCACAGTGAATTGTTCCCCGCATGGAAAACAAATGAGATAAGATATTCTTGTGACAACTTGACCTCTTCTGTGAATATGAGAACCAGGCTTCACAGAGAACTATTTCAGAGGTGTGAACAACAGCCATTTCTGAGGTGTTCCATAACGTAAAGCTCAGTGGGAGTTTTGACTGAAAATAAGGCCTCTTCCCTATGTAAGTGATTTCTTTCTGAAGAGACAGTTTCGCCAGCTTTCAGGCACACCGTGGGCTCCGAGAGCTTGGGGGGGGGGGGAAGCTGCTTGAGAGAAGTCATGTTAGACCAGTATGACTCAGATTTAGTTCTCACTGAAATGGCAACTTCTTTGGTGTGGGTTGCACTTTTTCAGAACATACAGTAGGTGGGGTTTAACATAGTTAAATGTTCTTTCATACAAAACGAACAGACACCCACACAGAAAAACTAGATGTCAGGGAGAAGAGTTCTGGCCCAGACTTCTCCCTGACATGCTCCTTTTTTTTTTTTTTTGTGGGCAGGGATTTGTGGGGGTGGGGGGAGTGTATGGCCATGAATTCCATTGTGTATGAACTGTCACATCCCATCAAAAGCAATTAGGGCTGCTTCAGGGACTTCAGGGTCCAAACCTGAGATAAGGAAGTTGATCCTTATGATGTCACAGAAGCGAGGAGGCAAGAATTAGAAAAGGAAGGTTTATTTCTCATAGTGGCCCTGTGTCACCGATGCCAGAGCCTGCATAATCACAAGGCTATGAATTATGATGTTGATAGTCCTTTCCCTGCCTTGTTCCAAATGGCTCAGTTAGATATGGATATAGTTCAAAATCAGCACTGTAGCATGCAGGTACTGGGACATTTTTAAAACAAAGAAAAGAAAGGAAAAAGGGGGGAGAAGCGAAGTGTAGTGCTCATATACTGCCCTACAGCACTTTAAAGCACTCTCTGGGCAGTTTACAATTAAGCAGGGTGCTTAATTGTACTCCTCACAAGCTGGGTGCTCATTTTACTGACCTCAAAAGGACAGAAAACTCAGTCATCCTCGAGCCGGCTACCTGGGATTGAACCGGGGTTGTGGCTGCAGTACAACAGTTCAGCTACTGAGCCCTGAGGCTCCTTTAAAGAACAAAGAACATTCTAAAAGGTGAGGTTTGGACAAGGAACTGAAGCTCAAGAGAGGGGAAAAGAAAAGAAATAAAGACAGGAATTGAGGAACAATAAAATGGTGCAGGAAAAAAAATAGTTTTATTTATATAAAGGATAGCCTGTTCTGGATAGTGGTGTTGGTGGTAGCAAAGGAGCGTAGAGGACCGTTCAGGTATATTTTCCTGGACAAATGTGTTTAGATGACCCCTTATATGCTTGAATGTAAAGAAAGATTTTTAAGTGGTCCACACATTTAATAGTGGCAGACTAAGAGTGCCATCATACAGACATGTAGCCTTATATGTAGTGAGGTCTGGCTAGAGCTATTTCTCAGATATCCCACAACATAAAGGGAATTGCACTCATCCTGACACTGATCCGTGCCAAAGCTGGACCTTTTTGGCATGATTCCCTGATGAATGGAAGAGTCGTTTGAAGGGAGATCATGCCCAGCAAAGCAACCCTTTCTGGTGCGATCAGAGGCAGACCTTTCTTGCTGTCTGATTGCACGCTTTAACTTCAGTCCTGACTTACAGTAGAATGATAGGTATGATCAATTTGACTACTTTCACTGGGGCTTAATCTTGAATAAATGGATTGTTGCAGCCGCACATAATTCTAACACTTTTTCTCAGCCTGTTATTTTTATGCAGTAATAGCAGAACAGCTGTTCTTTGAGTTTGATTCTCCTTGCTTGTTAAAAAAAGCCCTGCTTGCTTTGATTATATTTTCTGCAAATCAAAAGCTTATATTAACCCTATCAAAATATATTGCTTTGCCCATTTTATATTTCACTTTTCTTGGCAACCAACAAAATGGCAGTGAAGTAGACTGCTGGTGTGAATATGATCACAGAATGTGGAGTAGGGTGACAACAGAATTAAAGACTTGTCTGAAACACACACACAGTTTTTAAAGTTGGTTGCCACTGACTGCTATACTTCACTGTTGTTTTGCTCGTTCCAAAGACAGTGGAATATAAAATGGGCAAAGCAATATACTATTATGGGACCAGTATAAACATTTGCATTGTGCAACGCATCACCAGGATATCCAGATGTGCTTGTTTCCTACTTTTAATCCTGTTGTGCTTTCCCACGGCTTCTACTTCATTTTTTCTTTGCATGTGCATGTGCACAAACACATGCGTGTGCACAACCACACCGCCAGTAAGGCGGGTGTCAGAACTGTTACGCAATACCATTGGACATGTGCAGAAAGAGCCGTCCATTCAGGAGCAGACCAGGACTTAGGCCCTTTTAGAGAGACAGCAATATTGATTCCGGTCAGTGATTCATTCCCACGCAAGCCAGCATCACCATGGCATCTTGAATACCCCCAACTTTGTCTGGTTTTGGAAACTAAGTGGAGCCAAACTAGGAAACCAAAATGGAATACCAGGGACATCCAGGTAGGGGTAGGAAAGAATTGTTTCTGAAACCTTGGAGAACAGCTGCCATTCAGAGCTGACAATATAGACAGACCACTATAAAAGTTTTCTACGTTTTTGTATTCCAGTATTCCAACAACGAAACTAAGTAGTTGATTCAGGACATATGAAAACTTTTTCACACAGCATATAGTTAGACGGCCACCAATGTGAATCGCTTTAGAAGGAATTTAGAGGCAAATTAATAGAGAACCGAGTTACCAATGGCTATTTGTCATAATGGTTATATAATTTACCTACTGCAGTTGTTCCCATTCTTGGGTAACCTAGGTGCAGTCCAGGAACACCTGGCTACCCATGGTTAGGAACCACTGACCTATGGGATCAGAGGCAGCATGTTCTAAAGGGCTTGGGCCAGGTTTCTTGAAGAATCTGGTATATAGGTCTTCCCTCAGACCCTTAAACAATCTGCAAACTTGCCCCTGCCAAGTTAGTTGACATAGGTGACTACTAAGGCACTCCAAGAGGAGAATGCCTTTCCCAGAGAGACTTGCCTGGCATCTACATTTCAAAATGTTCAGGACCAAGTGAGTAACATTTAACTGTCTTACTTATTTTTGGTTCTTCAATTAAAACAAAACAATGTTTAGTTTTCTCTGGCCCAAATTATACATTACAAACAACATCACCTCAGTGGTTTCAGCATTTCAGGGTTTCTGGAGATGATTCTAGTAGGCCTTTTTGTCTGAGCAATCAGACAAGGAAAGATAATTCACAAATTTCAGGAGTGTGAAAAGGAACCAGCATGCCAATCAAATGCTTTCAGCACTTAAGAAATGATTTGTGTTAATGCAGTGTTCTGTGTAATGTTTAGCTGGATCTGTGTATCTTTGAACTGCAGCTAATTTTTTCTTCGGTTTTATTCTATTGCATGTCACTTTCAGATGAGACTTTTATTGCACAATTGCTGTG